GATAGATAGATAGATAGATAGATAGATAGATAGATAGATAGATAGATGATAGATAGATAGATAGATAGACAGACAGACAGACAGACAGGCAGGTCTCTCCGAAGTCCATCTGACTTCAAGAAGCATCTCTTTCAAGAATTTGCTCAGGGTTGTAGGACTTGTCACCGACAATCCATTTAGCAAAATAAATATTATTTCCTTGCCCAAGGATTTGCAGCTATACTCACCGCTGATCATTCCATGGCAGAGTTCTCGGATGCGTTCTTCACTAGCTTCTTTTCCCTGAAATTAAAGGTAAAGATTTCCACTCATGTTCAATTCTAGCCAAGGGAGCCAGCATGGTCCAAAGATGCTTCTGCGATGATGTCATCAGCATGACTATACACCAAGGAGCACGGGACGTTGTTACCTTCCCACCAAAGTGGTACGTATTTATCTACTCGCATCTGCATGCTTTCAAACTGCTAGAAGGGAGCAAGTAACGGGAATTCACCCCACCCTGCACCACTTGGGTCTTGAACCCCAAGCTTTCAACTTTCCAGCACACAAGCTCAGCATCTTTAACTGCTGAGCCATTACTCCCCTGTCCCTAATATTATGCAATGATATTTTGAAAACCTTTATAAGAGTTGTGGTCTCATTGGGAACTTCTACTGTACCCTCTGCTAACTTGGTCTGCACCAGAGATTTTTGTGACTTTCAATCGCAGAGTTGTCATTTATCTTCCAACGTCATGATATCTCACTAGGAAGCTCCCTAAGGAACTCTGCACCAGTCACAATCTCCCATTAATTCCTAGACTGAATGTTTTATAGGTAGTCCTTGACTTACGACTTCACATCTGTGGTAAGAAAGATCATAAAATGGAGCTAAACTCATTTAACAGATAACAGATAATCAGTGTTGGAAGGGACCTTGTAGGTCATCTAGTCCAACCCCCTACGCCGTTTCTGACAAATGGCAGTCCAATCTCTTCTTGAAAGTCTCAAGTGATGATGTTCCTACAACTTCTGAAGGTAAGCTGTTCCATTGGTTGATTGTTCTCACTGTCAGAAAGTTTGCACCAAGACAAATTCCTTGTGTGTCCAATCACACTTGGCCAATAAAAGAATTCTAGTTCTAATTCTAATTTCCAGGTTGAATCTCTCCTTGTTCAGTTTCCATCCATTGTTCCTTGTCTGGCCTTCAGGTGCTTTAGAAAATAGCTTGACCCCTTCCTCCTCTCTGTCACAGCCCCTCAAATATTGGAAGATGCTATCCTGTCTCCCCTGGTCCTTCTAGATTAGCCATGCCCAGTTCCTGCAACCGTTCTTCATATGTTTTAGCCTCCAGTCCCCTAATCCTCCTGGTTGCTCTTCTCTGCACTCTTTCTAGAGCCTCAACATCTTTTTTTATAGTGTGGTGACCAAAACTGGATGCAGTACTCTAGCTGTGTGGTCTTACTAAGGCTTTATAGAATGGTATTAGTACTTAACAAATGTTTCACTTTAACAACAGAAATTTTGGGCTCAATTGTGGCCCTTATAATACTATCTGTATTAGGAGTAGCACAGTGAAAATGAGTTTTAAATTGGAATAGGAATAGGAAGAAAAAAAAGATGGGCAGGTAAGGACCAACAAACATTTGCAAAAGGGTTTGTCCAGAACCTCTTACCGGGGGGCCTGGTTTCCCCACAATCCCAGGGATTCCTTGCTCTCCTTGTAAACCCATTTTGCCAGGATGGCCTGGAATTCCTGGGAGTCCAGCCGTTCCATTGGGGCCAAGGGCTCCTTTCGGGCCGGGCTCTCCTCTCTGTCCCGCCTGCAAAAGAAGAATGAAGAACATCCCAAATGGAGAAGCTGTGGCTTCCAAACTGGGCCTAAAAACACCTGAGGGACACAGCTGACTTGCAAAAGCAAAGCAAAACTCTATTCATGATCTGGATATATGGCTGATGGAAACCATCATGGGCACTACCTAAGCGAAGGACGGTGGGTTAAAACTGGCCCCAAGTTACCCAGTCAGCTTTCATGCCCAAGACGAGACTAGAATTCAATGTCTTCTAGCTTCTAGACAGCACCATATCCATATCACCAAACTGGGTCAATCAATCAATGAGAATAGAGCTGGAAGGGACCTTGGAGGTCTTCTAGTCCAACCCCCTGCTCAAGCAGGAGACCCTATACCATGTCAGATAGGTGGCTGTCCATTCTCTTCTTAAAAACCTCCAGTGATGAAGCGTCTACAACTTCTGGTGGCAAGCTGTTCCACTGGTTAATTGTCCTCATTGTTAGGAATTTCTCCTTAATTCCAGGTTGCTTCCCTCCTTGATTAGTTTCCAATCGTTGTTTCTTGTCTTGTCCTCAGGTGCTTTGGAGAATAAATTGACCCCCTCCTCTTTGTGGCAGCTCCTCAAATACTGGAAGACTGCTCTCATGTCACCCCTAGTCTTTCTTTTCTTTAGACTGGCCATACCCAATTCTTGCAACCGTTCTTCCTACATGTTGGTCTCCAGGCTTTTAATCATCTTAGTTGCTCTTCTTTGCACATTTTGCAAAGTCTCAACCTCTATTTTGTAATGTGGGACCAAAACTGGATGCAATATTTCAGGTGTGCTCTCTCTCCTATATGTTTTGTTGGAATTGCCCTCCTGTCTTCCTCTGCCTACCATAACATGCAAATAGCACTGGCTGCTATATTGTTGGCCTTCTGTATTCTCTGCTTGTGAGGACTTTTAAATGAAATATAGGAATGGTGGGCAAGTGATCTGGAAGCCTTCTTTCTGTAGGGGACATTCACTTTCCTTTCCATAGCTTCCTCTGACAGCGACCTCGCAGATTTTTCAAAAATAAAAGCCACCAGACAAATGAGTACAAATCCATATAATGAAAAAGACCAGAGGTGATGGGTTTTATTTTATTTTTTTTCTCTAGAAAGCATAGGATACTCACTTCCCCTTTCTGTCCGGGAGCTCCAAAAGGGCCCTAGGAAAGAAGAAAAAAAATGAAATAAAGTTATTTGGAAACCAAAATGGAGCTGAAGAACCCGGATTGCTTTTCATTGCAGCTCACAAATATGCCACCCAAATTTATCATCTAAACCAGGGGTCTCCAACCTTGGCAACTTTAAGCCTGGCGGACTTCAACTCCCAGAATTCCAATGCTGGCTGGGGAATTCTGGGAGTTGAAGTCCGCCAGGCTTAAAGTTGCCAAGGTTGGAGACCCCGGATCTAAACAACTTACTCGGGGATGAAGTAGAATTAAAGAATGCTAGGGCTGGAAGGACCATAAGTTTCAACCTTTGTAGAGCGTGGGGAATACACTGTGCATTTCCATCACTGTGGGTGAATATAACTGGAGTCTTCCCTAGAGTAACCTTCATCAAGCTGATTCATTCTGTAACATAGCTTCAGTTCCTCTGCTCCAGAGGCTTACAGATGTGTTGAGGAGTTAGTTAAAAATAAAATTAAAAAGATCCCAGGACCACTGAATCACCATGCAAAGCTCTAATACAGTCTTGGCAACTTTAAGATGTGTGGACTTCAACTCCCAGAATTCCTCAGTCAGTCTTTCATGCTTAAGGTGGGACTAGAACTCACTGTCTCCTGGTGATTGGCCCAAAGTCACTCAGCTGCTTTCATGCCTAAGGCGGGACTAGAACTCTCTGTCTCCTGGTGATTGGCCCAAAGTCACCCAGCTGCTTTCATGCCTAAAGTGGGACTATAACTCACTCACTCTCTCTCTCTCTCTCTCTCTCTCTCTCTCTCTTTCTCTTCATCTGCCATCATCAGGCTTCTGTACTGTGTTCATCTGTGAGACAGACTTCACAGCCGTTTCAGTTTTAAATTTGGTGCTAGCCTACTCCTGTGCCAGAATGGTTTTTTCTTCATCTTGATTGGTTGGGAGTCTTGGTCTGTGTTTACTGGTCTTGGAGTTTGCTGTGTTCTGCTTGATTGGTGTTTCAAATATCTTCTGTCTGTTTTGTGGCTTTTTTTTTGTCTTGATTGGCTGGCAACATTGTGTTTCCTGTATCGGAGGCTTTTAGTGCATCTTGGCTCCGAGTAAATGGATGGCTATCATTTATTAGGAAGCTAGGTTTCATCTGGGTGCCTGGTTGGGGTGTGTTTGAGCTGGAAGTATCGAGGGGGGGGGTCTGTTTGTGACCAGGTGTTTGCCTGGCTTGTGGTGTGGAGCTTTGTTTGTTTGTGAGTGCAGGCTTCCAAATAATTGACAGTCTGGTGGAATCATCTCTTCTATTCATGCTTTCAGGTCTTTTTTCAATCTCTATGGCTTCTCTGATAATTCTGTGATTAGGGTTTTCTATAGTGGCTAGGCCTGACTCACAGACGAACACTATACAGAAGCCTGATGATGGCAGATGAGATTCTGCCGAAACATTACTACAACTTTAAAAGCACAACTATAATGACGTAGGAAAATACCAGAACAAAGCTGAATACCATATATATATATTAAGTATAGTATATAAAATCATACATTGCAATGTCCTACCTGTCAATGAATACTTCAGCTTCAACCATAACAACACAAGAGCAAACAATAGATACAAACTCAGGGTAAACTGCACCAAACTTGATTGCAGGAAATACGACTTCAGCAATAGTGTGGTCAATGTCTGGAATATTCTATCTGACTCTGTGGTTTCTTCCAAAACCCCCAAAACTTTAACCTTAGACTGTCTACTATTGACCTCACCCCTTTCCTAAGAGGTCTGTAGGGGGCGTGCATAAGCGCACCAACGTGCCTACCGTCCCTGTCCTATTGTTTCTTTTACTTTTTTTATTTTTCTTATATGTATTCATGTATTCATAACTATGTTTTTACTTATACCTATTATCTTGTAAGCAATTGACAAAAATAAATAAATAAATAAAATAAAATAAACTCTCTGTCTCCTG